TACTCCGAGCCGAAGCGAATAAACATGGGTTCACGCGACCGTCAAACGCGATTGCGCTCGAAATTACGTTCGCGGGACGATTTCGGGGGCCGATTTTCCGTTAGTTTCGGAGAGATTCGCCGAATTAGTCCAAAATTATTTTCACGCCGCCATCGGGAGATTTAATTGGGAGAATTAGAATCGGGGCTGATCGAGTCGGCGAATTTTTCAAATCATCGTCGACATTTGTCTCGCCTGTAGTTAACGCTTAGATCAAGTTCGCTCGACAAGTCCAGTTAATCCTCTAATGACAAGGTGAATTCTCAGCGTGTTCAGGAAAGCGGGGTCGGATCCGACCCCACGCTCTGTTTTGTTCATTTTTCGATGTTACCAATGTAGAAAATAGACACGAGAAGTAAATAATAATATGAAACGTTCCTTGAGAAGAGAAACAGCGCGAGTACGCTGTGAAATAAATGAAAGCGCGAGGTCAACCTAACCCCACCTTACCGTTGGAGGGTTAATTCAAATTTTTTTTCATCAATCTCAGAGGGCACAAAATTCCGTTTGTCCGTGCAAACGCACAGTATTCCTTGATATTAATACTTGTATTTTTCCTTTCGGTCGATTCTCCGATAAGTATTACGTAACGTTGGATGAACAGTTTTTTCTCCGCGTGTCTCGTTGTCGCTCCGGTGCTTTCTATCAAGGTGTCTGCCGTCCGACGGGCAAAAACAAAATAAGATCCGGCGTGACGCGAGCAATGACGTCCAGCCGGAAAAAAATCGGATTAAGCAATCCCTGTTGGTGGATCAACTTTCGTCTCACGTCTGGCTAATCCTAATCTGGTTTGTGTGATTCAGCTAAGCAAGTCTCCACGGTTTCCTGCCTCTCACTTTTCCCCGGGAACCACCCGTGTCGCGGAATCGTTTTTGCGGGGTTAGGGGGATCGCGTCCAGCGACGACAAACATATTTATCGTTAGACGTTTCGACGAGAACGAAATAGAGATTCGGCGTCCTGATATTCCGATGAAAAACTGGAAATAATCTTCTTGAACTATCGCGAGCGACGATGACGCAGAAGAGAATGAGTGATAAAGTTTCGCGATTATTACTCCGCAGATGTTCTCTCGCGTGTGTTATGTGCGCGCAATCAACACGTCAACGTTGCACTTCACATCCATGGAAAATTACGAGCGCGTTTCATATAAATCATTTTTTTAATAATATCTTCACACTATGGGGATGATTGTCCGAGCAGTTTATTTTAATCGGCATCGAGTCGGATGCGTGAATACCTACATACCGTGTGTATTACATTCGTTAAGACCGTTATTCGAGCATTCAAGTCGTTAACGCGATAATATCGCTGGAATTGCATAGTGGTGCACTTGTACACAAAATTAGTTTCTAAACGTGTTACCTTAATTTATGTTATTGATTACGTAGTTAGATAACAATTTATTGCCTTATAAAGGCGCCGTAAATATCTTCTCTCGAAAAAATAGCGCCGAGCGGCGACTATGATCCTTATCGCGATTTAAAGAGCCAGCCCTCATTTTATTTTAAATGCGCACTCACTAATCCGGAAGTGTATTTCAACTCTTAACCACGGTAATTTTATGCCATCATTACACGCGATTAATCATTAAATCTAGCGTTGTTCAATTTCTGCTATTATTTGATTATTATCAAAGTTCGTATTAAATTTTTTATATTAATGCGATACACTTTGTAAATATGAATCATACATGTCACATTTGTATATTAAAAATTTACTTGCATTAACATTTGGACGACGGACAGACGATTAATCAACAACATTTGTAAACTATGTTGAAACTTCCATCTTGCAAAACCGTATTTTATGTTGAATTTCATCGTATCGTATTTCCGATATATTCTCTTCGATATATGATCTATAGATACACACGATTGTAAACGAAAAGAAATATATTTTGTTTTATTCGCGAGTCATAATTTATCTAGTTGGATGCTAAATTAACCTCGTGAACGTATGAATTTATGAAAATCAGGATATTATAAGTTACTTCAAAGTAATGTCATCGAATGAAATAGTTCTCTTTCTTAGAATTCATCCCTCTCTTGCTGGGACCAATAATATCGGATTTCCGACGGACACATGGTGATGTATCTGTAAAATGTGAGGTGAAAACGTCCGCCGAGAGTAATAAACGTAAAGTTTTGTCTCGCTTAAATATCGGATTATATTTTTCCCGTTGACACTAAGGTTTTGCGCGAGTTTATCACACGCATATGACCCTTCTTACGATCGGTATATCAGTTATCCTGCGAATATCATTAGCGGAGGGCGCGTGTAAGTCGATTACGCGGAATAGTTTATGATCTCGAAGTTAACTTGGGAACGATCGCGGCTCTACGACGATGCCAAGCCACCCTTCTCGCCCTTCCGCGAGAGGGATGAGATGCGCAAGGTCAGATCTTAAGGGTGGGAGGAGGGTTGCTAGGTTGACAACCCTGCCAGCCAGGCAGAGGGACTCCGCCCATTGGCGGAAACCGCGGAAAAAAGGAGAGGAGGGTGAAGTCCGTGGGACTCAATGATGGCGATAAAAACCGACGAGAGGGCGAAGGGAGAGAGAGAGAGAGAGAAAGAGAGAAAGAAAGGGATAATGGAAGAGAGACGGAGAAAGCGCAAAACAGAGGTAGGGAGAGGGAGAAAGAAGGAGAAAGGGAGGAAGGGAGAGGACGAAAAGAAGGAACGCAGAAGGAACAATCTCGTTCTCTCAAGATGTTAATTAACAACGAATTATAATTTTTGTCCGCCGTAGGCCGCGAAAGATGCGCGAAAAAGTGGCCGCGAAATTAGCGCCGTGAAAAATTGCGCGACTATAAATGCCGAAGCGCGATCGTTAAATTCGGTCGATGCAATAATACGCGGCTTTTTGTTTTAAGCGCCGCGGGATTTACGATGGTCGATCCCCCCTCGTTGCGACGCGTTCCAACTTCTTTCTTTTCACCGTCCTCGCGAATTAGAGGGAACGGCGTTGCCTCGCGGCCGAGCGATATCGCCGTACAAAACGCTAAATTTTCGGCCGTTCGCGACGATTGTAACGCAAATATTTTAATCGCAATATTTTACATTGTTTAAATTGCCGCGTTTAAATTACCGCACGATGCCCGGTAGAGTAATTGAAACTCCGATTAACGCTCGGTGATTTTTGATATGTTTAATNCCTCTATTCTCGCCCCCCCCCCCCCCTCCAAGACTGTATTAACAGTTGATATTGCATATATACCGCGACTGTGCGAGGCAGTAAATGTAAGTGATAATCATGGATCTATGGATTTCTTGACGAGTCTCGATGTATTTTCGGAGACAACTTTCGTTGCGGCCAAACTTTCATTGACGGTCGTCATTCATCGGTCGCTAACGTTTAATTTCGAATAAATGTTGATTCAACGGTAATTAAGCCAAAATTGTATTCCACGGTAATTAAGCCATAAAATGAAATATCTACAGAGCAAATCTACAATATTGACACTGAAAATCAAAATATTCCCCCCCCCCCCCTCTCAATAGTATCGATTTTTAAGTACTTTTCACAAGTTAATCGAAATACGCTAAAAGAAATTGTGTACTTCGACGTTAAAGCGCGTTAGAAAATTCTCTCGGGAATTTCGTTCGCGGGACGAAAGGGGATCGCAAGTTCAAGTATTCGACAGCGAGACACGAGAGAGTCAGACTTCCTGTCGGTGTTATTCCGTATGAAATAACTGCGATTTCGCATGCCGGTTAGGTTTTTCTTCGGTATCGATTGTCCGCCTGAAATTTATCGGGGAATTCGGAAGCATCGGTTGCCGGGGAACACGCGATTTTCGACTTTAATCTTCTTTAAAAAAGCGTAACTTCTCCTGCAGGTTCGGATCGGCAGTTGCTTCTTTAACGTGATTAGCACGGCGATTATCGTCGCATTGTTGGCGACTTTTACAGCGCCCCGACTATGTCAATCGCGCCGGCGATTTAATCGAGTCGATTGTACAAAAAAGCCGAGCACAATGCACGCCTCGTTATGCACGCGCGCTCTTACAATGAAAGTGCTTAATCTTCCTTCCCGAATAAAACGCGCTTCGCGCGACGACGAGGAGACTACCGAACCACTTCATGCAATCTATTCTCGCGACGCGAGTATTAACGAGTGATTTTTTTGTTTTCTCTTTTGAACAAATCACCACGCCACGCTCACTTTGCGCGCCCGTCCGCGATTTTAATTCGACTCATTGCGGATAATTCCGCGTGTAATACGCGATCGGGTTTCCCCATTATAATAATTACGCGAGCGATTTGGGAATTAATGTTGGGAAATAATGTTCGCGAGTAAATAAACACGCGCGGGACAAAGCGGGGGATTTAAACGGGCCGCGATATTTATTTACCGAACGCGTAATTCTTTGAGACTCACTGAGAGATTCGATGAACGCGCGAATTGAAAGATCCACCGTGCAAGATGCCGGAAAATATAACGCGGTGTATCGCGCGGTATAAATAATATTTGAAACACGCTCGTCCTTCTGATAAGCGAGACGTATCCTCTTCCCCCTCTCCCCCCGCGATTAAACCACGCTAAATCGCGTAAAGCCGCGCGGCGAGCCACGTGGCGGGCACGTATTTACAACGAAATGTTCAACACCCCGTGCAGAACTAATATTAATTTAAGCTTTGCCCGGAACCGACCAATGACGTGGTAGCGTTTACGTCCGCGTTACCGTACGTGCGTTAATAACCGTGCGCGTTAATATTTCATCAAATTGCAAGTGTAATTTTCGGCGGCGCACACCCGATCGTCCGCCCTTCAAACGAGGATTCGCATTTTCTTTTTGCTTTTCGCGCACACAAAACCCGACGTTGAAACGGTATATCGGGGGAGGGGAGGGGCGCAAGCTTGTTGCCGCGCGGCCGAACGTCATGTTCAACACAAGACTGTGGCCGAAGCGAGACGGAGATGAGCGTAACGTGTGTGTGTTCTCTTTTAATTTGCAGCAGGGAGACGCGGTTTGGCGATGCTCCTGTCATGTGCAGGATGCGAGAAACCGATAATGGATCAGTACCTGCTGAACGTTTTGGACCGTGCATGGCACGTCGAGTGCGTGCGCTGCTTCGACTGCAGAATCACGCTGCAGGACAAGTGCTTCTCCAGGGAAGCGAAGCTCTTCTGCAGGAACGACTTCTTCAGGTATGTGTGCGCTCTCCTTGTCTTTTTTCTCTTTTTCCTTTGATCCCCGCACGAAAAAAAGCGTTCTTTCCCCGGGTCTGCGATATCGACTGATTCGATCAATCATTGAGAGGACGAAACATTGGCGTTGCTTGAGCAATAAATAAATTGGTAGTTAATAATCGCCAGTAATCTCTCGAGAGTCGGATATAGGATTGATGAAATTTTCCACGGTGAAATCTTCTCCCACACAGAAGGTTACTTATTATTGACGCTACAACGCGGACGCTTGTAGCGTGTTTCCACTGATAAACGATAAACGATAAGACGAATTGTTAATAATATTAATCGATGTACGATGGGAATTATCCTTTCCGTGTGGGGATTAAACTTTTTTCAAATCCTCCTCCGCTCTTCGCGCAATTACGCGATATTATCCACTCCGTTTCTCTCTCTCTCTCTCTCAGGTTGACGAGCGCCTTCAGTTATTTGTGACAGTTTATTAGAAATTCATCAATTATTGCCGCAAATTAGATAAATCGCTATCGCTGATGAATCTACAAGCCAAGTACTTTTTATATATCGCGCATACAATTAGAGCTCACCTTCTCGATCTGCATACAGGCCGAGTATGCATCGATGAATATGAATACGCTGGCTTCACCGACCGTCGTATCCTCTCACTCTCGCCGCCGCTAACTCACCCGGGGTAATGCATACGCCTATCGGGAGTACATCTTAAAATACCGATTTATGTGCCGCGGAGTTCACTTTCATCGATCTGCAAAAGAAAAATCCATCCGTGGCTTCTTTTCTTTCGAACTTCCGCGAAGATCCGCGCGCGCGCGCGCGCGGTCGAACCGGCGTCACGACCTCGCCGTCTCCGGCACTTTTCCCCGACGACGACCCAGTCGTCGTCTTACCGTCTACCGTCCATCGCCGATGAATCACACGGGAACGGTCGGTCGTCGGCGGTTTTTTACGCGATCCGCGCGGAGCGCGGCGATTCGTCTCGAGAAAAAGGGGTCTCGTGACGAATGGTAGGTAGGCCTTGGCATTTTCCCCGGGCGAGACAGGCGTCATTTCGCACGGCCTGATTTCAAAAATCAAGCTCGTGGCGCTCGTCCGTCTCGACAAAGCGCCTTGTACGATCCGACGAACGAGCGACGTGATAGTAACAACAGCGAACCCGCGGCCGCAGTTGGTTACCGCCGTATGGAAAAACGCGAGCGCTTCGTCCGAGTCGAAATTTTAATCCCACGTTCGACCTTTCCGTTTAAGTATTGACGAGGAGAGTCTTGGGGTTTACACAGAGAAAAAGGAGTTTCTTTGGATTTAGTACACGTGTTTGTATGTCTTTTGACGTTCGTTTAATATAAACGACGTAATTCAATATCAAATATTATTTTATTTGAGTGAAAATTGCCTCACCAGAATAAACCACGTTGTGCGTCGGAACAAACAGTATTATTTGGAGGGAATAATATATCGTTTTCAGTAAGAAGAATTTATTTCATTATGCATTAAATATTGTTCCGTGAGACAAAAGCATTCTTTGATATTTTTTTAACACGGTGTTACTTGTTTCAAATAATTTATTATTTGTGACGATCATTGCAACGTTTGAATAGAAATACAAGAGAAATATGGCGTTTGACGTAAATGTATTTTTCGTTTGAGAAACCACATACTTGTCGGTTGAATGAAATATTCCTTTGTTTGCTTTATCCCAAAGGACAGATTTGTTTCGATCAAGGATATATTATTAAACCCTAAGAAATCTTTTCCTCTGTGTACAGACTATTGTTCTTTGATGTTGCGAAGTTTACCTACTGCCATTTTTGAAATTTTTTTTTAAGGACTAGTTTAAGAATGATTTAATCCTAGTTTGTCACATTCCGGACCACTGAACGTTTTTTGGTTTCCTTGTAGAATTAATTTGAAGAATCTTGTAGAATTTGTAGAATTAATGTAGAATCCAAAATTCGACTTCGAGAAAACTTCGATAAAACACGAAAACAACTTGGAACGCGAGAAAAGAGAGAGAGAGAGAGAGACAGAGAAAGAATTCTCCGAAGACGCCGATTATTACTGCAATTCACAGCGCGAATTCAGGAATCGAATCGGCCGGGCGGTTCTTAAGCCTCTTTCGTGTTGTCGGAAGTTCGCCGGAAGGAAAACACGTCAAAGTAGTTCAACCTAGTGATTTAAATTAATGACCGTGGCGTATAGAAGTGATTTAAACGGGCCGGCAGCGTGGCTGCTGATTGATTCGGACGCTCGTAGATTAAATTACTATCGGCGTCGTCGTTTTCGAGCGGTTACTCCTTTCTTACGTGTGTTTGTGTCGCGAAATAAAACGAGGAAGGACTGAGCACTCGATGCATCCGTAATTTCGAACGTTGTGTCGTCTTACGCGCGAATATCTTTTCTCCTCTACGTTAAATATTTTTCACAGATTTTCCTTTACATTTGAATATATAAAAAAAGAATGAATCATACACGATAATTCCATCATTGATATCATCAGGAATTATCGTAACCTAACGTTAATATTATTTTCATTTCATTATTATTAATTCGTTTCTCGTGCGTATTATTGGCTAATATTGATATTATTACCATTATTGTTGTCATTACTATTAGCATCATCATATTGTTATTATTGTTGTCAGGTATAAATTATAGCCCCGAAGCTAGATTCGATTAACTTCATTAGAGTAGTATTATGAACACAGTATTATACGTCGCTAAATGGCAGTAAAATATAACTCTATCCGATCGAGCCTGCAAGCCCAAAAAATCGATATCTCCGCACAGCGCGAGACAACCGCGCGACAACCGGTCTCTATTATTCGCGAGGCCGCCGTAGGATCCGTCGCCGCCGCATCCTACGGAACGGTCGGCCGTTCCACGTGGGTGGCGAACTATGATATCAGCATATCGATTAGTCAAGGCGAAAAATGGCGAGCTCGCCTCGCACTGTGTGGCGAATTCAATTTTGCGCCGGCATTTTTCTGCGCGCGGTAGCCGCGCGCGCGAGATCGTTTGCAAACAAAATCAGCGCGGTTCTCGGGGACCTCGAAAGAGAGAGGGACCCGCTTCTTTCGTGACTTCTGGAAGTGATGAACGATCCCCTTTGTAACCCTTTGGGAGGAACTGTGCCGGGGCGGAATGGGGCGGGGAGCGGGGGAAGGGCGCCTTTGATACTCTCTCGTACTCTCGGACGTACGAATGTATAACGAACGTGTTGTATATAGTTTACGAGGCGCTTTGCACTTCCCGACCCGATGAAAAATTCATTAGCTACCCCAGCAGCACGAAGCCGGGGCACGTCGCGAATGGCGGTGAAAAAGTCTCGCCACGTGAGACACGCGCGTTCCTCCGCGCGTTAATTCGCTGATGGTCCCCCCGCCGCCGCATAATTGTCCGTAATTTGTATATTAAAATCAGATAATCGCCATGCTATATTAATAACGCAGGTCGCGTTTAGGATTAAATCGCAAGCGACAGTAACGCGAATAACGGCCGATTCGGCGCTTAAATCGACAGTTGCGGCTAAAGCAGGTCGTCTTTTGAATGATACACGAAGAAACGTAGACGCGAGATAACTTGATCCGAGAATACGTGTAAAATCACGGAGGCACTCGATCGCACATCCCGACATCCCTTCGAGTTAACTTCGTTCGATAAAATTCTCTCGTCTTTCACCGGACGAATATCCTATCCGAGAACAAGTCGTCACCGAGCCGGGCTCATTTAATGAAGACCGTCGCGGCGCAAGCGGGGCCCCAAGGACGTCGACGGAAAAGTACGTTCGGCGGGGCCCGAGAAGTCGCGCGACCAAAGAGCGGAGGGGAAATTCTATAACACCTCCGGGAGGTCCTCCCGGGCGTGGGTCGGTATTATACGGTGCGGTTATGGTAACCGGCTCTACGAGTCGCAGCAAGGTCCTTAAAGGTCGATAATGGCCCGTGGCGGGGGCCTCCGAAGAGCCCCGCGGGGATCAAAAGGGCCGATGTGTCCCCGTTTCGACGCCACCGCCGCCGTCGTGCCATCGACCGGGAGAGAGTCGGCGAAAATTATTGCCCGAAAAAAATACGGTCCGTCGCGGCCCGAAATGCTGATGAAAACATTAGCGGCGAGCGCGCGGCGCGTCACGATCGTGCGGTCGCGTCTCCGGGATCCTGAGTGAGTCCGAAGGTGACGCGAGAGAGAGAGAGAGAGAGAGAGAGCGTCGCGGTGCCTTTCTCGTCGCGCCGACAGCCGCCGAAAATTTATCGAGTGAATAATTCAATGGGCGACGACAAGGTTGCAGCAAGGCGGGCCGACTCTTGCTGCTTCGCGGGCGTTATCGATTCCTACCTGTGGCACTCGCGCCGCTGTTTACGGCGAATTGCGCCATCCGTGAATCCGCCCGGCTTCTGAGATATTCCACGATCCGTCGTCGCCGTGCGTTTCGTCATGGCGAGTCGATTTTACTATTGTCGTCCTGCTCAGCTTTCCAATTGACGCTCTTAATTACCAACATGTAAATATCATTATTCACGACTCTTAACGCTTGAATTATTCGATTCCTGCGCGCGTGTCGTGGTATTTCATTTAACCCTAAGCTTAACGCGCGCGCTCACGAGCGACAACCTCGCGATCCGCGTCTCTTCCTTCCTTTCGCCAAAAGAGAAAAGAGAAAGACACGCAGAAGGTGAGCGAGTTCGCGAGCGCATGTTAGACAGTTCCGGTTGAATTTATCCACCTTCCTCAGATCTCGCCGATTAGTGGAGACTCTTTACGGCGCAACCGTTGATCTCGTTTGGATCCCTACGTAGGGGGGAGCGATCAGACGGATGCCACGACTAAAATGACGGAGGTATCGCCGGTTTCTCGCGCTGATAACTCACTGATAAGTCCTCGATCTCGCTGCGATGATTGCCGTGGTCGTTACCTCGATCGTTACTTACGCGCATTACAATGTTATTAACGCGTGCGCGCGCGACGTCGCTCGCAGTTAACATATATTTTTC